TCTCTCTCTCTCTCTCACTCGCTCGCTCTCTCTCTCTCTCGTTCTCTCTCGCTTTCTCTCTCTCTCTCTCTCCCTCTCTCTCTCTCTCTCTGTCTCTCTGTCTCTCTCTCTCTGATTTTGATAATTAACCCTTTGGTCCAGTTACTGAACCAATTGAGCAACTTTTCATCCGAATACCATTTGGGTGGGGGGGGGTTTTCGTTAAAATGTCTGTGCCGGCTGTAGAGACACACAGGGTGACGTCTTGTTTCCAATTTCGTCCCAAATCCAGAGACACATAGGGTGTTACAACTACGTCTCAAATACTGAGACACATAGTGTGTTACAACTACGTCTCAAATACAGAGACACATAGGGTGTTACAACTACGTCTGAGACACACAGGGTGTTGCAACTACGTCTGAGACACATAGGGTGTTACAACTACGTCTGAGACACATAGGGTGTTACAACTACGTCTGTCTTAAATCCAGAGACACACAGGGTGTTACAACTACGTCTCAAATACAGACACACATAGGGTGCTACAACTACGTCTCAAATACAGACACACATAGGGTGTTACAACTACGTCTGAGACACATAGGGTGTTACAACTACGTCTCAAATACAGAGACACATAGAATGTTACAACTACGTCTCAAATACAGAGACACATAGGGTGTTACAACTATGGCTCAAATACAGAGACACATAGGGTGTTACAACTACGGCTCAAATACAGAGACACATAGGGTGTTACAACTAAGTATCAAATCCCACTACAAAACTTTGTTGCACTTCTATTTGGTGGTGTCGTGGCCCAGCGATTAGGCTACCGGACTCGTAATCGTGAGGTTGTGGATTCGAGGATTCGGTCCGCGGACCTGACGTTGTGTCCTTTGGAAAGGCAATTTACACGAATTTTCCTCACTTCACCCAGGTGGGAATGGGTACCCGGGTATAGATAACGAAAGATCTTGTCAGTGTTAGTAGTTTAGCGCCTAGAAAGGACGCTTGCACTGTATGCTTCCCAGGAAGGTGAGGTTATTTCTGAATGCTCTAAAGTCTTCAGGGATGATAGTGTGGATTGTGAAGCGTATATAGAGCTTGCTGTTGAGCGGGGATTTGCGCTATACAAATGCTGTCTATTATTATTATTATTATTATTATTATTATTATTATTATTATTATTATTATTATTATTATTATTATTATTATTATTATATTATTATTATTATTATTATTATTATTATTATTATTATTATTATTATCATTATTATTATTATTATTATTATTATTATTATTATTATTATCATTATCATTATTATTATTATTATTATTATTATCATTATTATTATTATCATTATTATTATTATTATTATTATTATTATTATTATTATTATTATTATTATTGTTATTATCGTTATTATCATTATCATTATTATTATTATCATTATTATTATTATCATTATTATTATTATTATTATTATTATTATTATTATTATTATCATTATTATTATTATCATTATTATTATTATTATTATTATTATTATTATTATTTTCCTCACTTCTCCGTCCCTTACTTCTTCATCTTGTCTTTATCTTTCTCCGAGAATACGGATGGATATAAATAGCAAAGGTTGATGCAAAAAGGGGCGCACCTCTGTTGAAATGTTAATGTCACTGGTGCGCCGTTCCGTACGTCTTTAGCAAAGGGTGACAGTTTTCCTTCCCGCTCGCTACATTTTCCGTCCACGAGTTGTCGGTGTCAGAAAGCTGATGAATGGCTTCGTGTAGCAAAACTTCTGAGATCACCGTAAACCTGTTTAGAGCTGGGCGGAGAAGCGATTCCGGAACCGATTCCCACGATGAATGTTACGAAAGAAAAGTTCCGACTTCCGGTTTCCAGTTACTTTGATCATTAAAATCTTTTTTTTTTTTAAATTTGTTTTTGAAAAATAAAAGTTGATTCTTCGTAGTGTTCCGAAATCAAGGTTATCCTAAATCCTGAAGATGTTAAGAGCCAACCAGATGACCATCTGAAGAAGTCGCATTTTTAGAAAGTCAGTAATTAGGTTCGGAGTCGATTCCTACGATTCCTAGCTTTCAATAATCGGGAACCTAGCCGCCCAGCACTACCGTTAATATCGACGTCTATGTGTTCTGTTCGATTCAAGTAGGACAATAAACGAGTAAACTCATTTTTTAAAGACAAAGAACAAAAAGCAACTCCTAATTACGCTACTAATAATAATATCGAGCAACACATCATCATCATCATCATCATCATCATCATCATCATCATCATCATATTCATCATATTCATCATCATCATCATCATCATCATCACCATCATCATCATCATCATCATCATCATCATCATCTGTTCAAGGCACAAACAAACATTGTTTTTTATTTCGTGTTGACTCATATAAGCGAAAGTAAACGTTTTGTAACTTCTGATCTGAAATTTGTTTTGACTCATATAAACTAGAGAAAACTTTCAGTCAGTAATTTCTGATCTATTTAACGCCACAGCACAAATTCTTTTCATCTCAACGACTACACTTGGCACCTTTTTTCGAAAAAAAAGGAACCAAGGACTAAAAAAAACAACAACTTCTAATTCTCCTCGTACTTCTCCTCTCCCTTCTTAGCCTCCTCCTCCTTTCTATCCCCAGCCCTGGCACCACACCACATCTTTGTTTATTGCTCTTCTCTGTTCCGTCTCTCTCTCCTCCCCTCAATTTGCACAGACGTGCGACAGGAGTCCATTAAGGGATAGTTTATGACAAAAACATCGTCTGTGCCCGCTTGCTCCTGTGTTGGTACCTTCTACACGCAAACTTACAATAAATTAACCACAGTTCTGGCCACTTGAAATCAATGTTTCCGAATTCAATTTCCGTATCCGCTTCGTCTTGTACATCGTCGTCGTCATCGGTGTTGTCGTCGTCATTTCTTTTTTCTCCGTTCTTCCCTTCGTCTCGGTTCTACCACTTCTCCTTGTTGCCCTGATCTTTACACATTTCTTTTATTCAGACTTTTTTTTACAGATATCCTGGTTTTGCTGCAATCCTCTCTCTCTCTCTCTCTCTCTCTCTCTCTCTCCTTTTCTCTCTCTACCCCTATCTCTCTCTCTCTCTCTCTCTCTCTCTCTCTGTCTGTCTTTCTCTCATCCCCTCTCTCCCCTCTCTCTCATCCCCTCTCCTCTCTCTCTAACTCTGCCTCTCCCTCTCTCGCATCCCCTCTCCTCTCTCTTTCTAACTCTCTCTCTCCCTCTCTCTCTCCCTTTCTCTCTCCCTCTCTCTCTCTCTCTCCCTATCTCTCTCTCTCCCTCTCTCTCTCTCCCTCTCTCTTTCTCTCTCCCTCTCTCTCT